CCTCCAACCTACGAGCGATGGCCTCCAACCTAAGAGCGATGGCCTCCTAGAAGCAATGGCCTCCAAGCTACTATAGAAGCAATGGCCTCCAACCCAATACCGACGGCCTCCAACCTACTAGCCATGGCCTCCAACCTAGAAAGCAATGGCCTTCAAACCTACGAGCGATGGCCTCCAACCTAAGAGCGATGGCCTCCAACCTAGTAGCGATGGCCTCCAACCTAAGAGCGATGGCCTCCAACCTACTAGCCTACTAGCAATGGCCAAAAAATTGTAGGGATGGCCTCCAACCTAGAAGCAATGGCCTCCAAGCTACTATAGAAGATCCCCGTGGCAATAGCCACTATGAAATGGGGGGGGGTCTACATGCTCCTAAAACGTTTTAGACAGTAGACCCCTCAAGGGGTTGCTCCCTCATTTCATAGTGAATTGGTAGCGTTTCTGATACTTGATCTTGCTTTGATCTGGAAATGTGATGTGATGCATTTGGGCTTTATCAAAGTGAGCCTCAAGAACAACAGATTTTGGAAAGATCTTCTTGATCCAATGCCATATTTGCAACTGCCAGAAAATAGATACACCATGATACACCAAAGTTTTATATAATCAATCCGTCAAGCATAGAGTCTCAGAGATCTTGCCTTTTGGCAAATCTGTCCAACGTGCAATCATGGATCCAGCGGAGAAGCCAGAAGGATGCCCAAAGACATGTGTCTCTTGTCTTGTAAATGTGTGGTGCTGTATAGATTTTGGATGATTCTGGAGAAGAAACCGAAGATGGAATAACAAATCATGGCAGTTATGGTAGCATTCTGGAAGCTTAGATAGTTTTCTTCAAGAAACTTTATCGAGTATGAGGAAGCTGGATTTTGGAAAGACAATTGAAGCTGTTGGAAAGCGTTTTATCTTATTTTAGTCTTTCAGTTTACATCTGAGTTCATCTGAGGGGGGTGCGAAATTGCATTGAGAAGATGAGCGACCCCTCGTGGAGCCATAAGCATCAGCTTTGGGGTGACCTGGTCAAATGAAGATGAAGTGAACAATGATGAACAATGTTAGGAAATATTAGGAATAAATATGAAGTGTGATTGAACATTTTTTAAAAAGGTGATATCTTTGCACCAGCCAAGTTAGCAGATGCGCACTCTACTGCGGGCGACCATCGTGGCATTATAGCTACTATGATCCAGATTTGTGCCTTGGACCAACTAGGCATCATGTGGCGTCTGTGGTCTCAAAACGTTAAGGAACAAAGATTTCAATAACTGAGATTGAGTTCCAATACGATCCAGTATTGGTCAGGAAGACATGGCTGTGGACCATCGAAATCTCACGTTTGTCAAAATCACGGCGAGAAGCTCAAGAGGCATCGTGGGTGCTGGTGACATATAGCGAGAGCTCTTGTACGGTTCATTTGTCACTTGAAATTGTCTGCGCAATATGTACGTTTGCAAAATGAATCCCTGCACGTCCATGATGATCGCTGGCGGTTGGCTGGAACATACTACTATTAGGAAAACAGAAAACGGGTCTTGCTGGACACATTGCCGGGCCTCAGCCATGGTGAGTGGAAAAGTTGGAGAAGACACAGCGACTTCAATCCCTGAAGCGCAGAGCCTTGCTATGGAACAATTGGGTGTTGGGAAATTTTTGGTAGTTAGGATCGCGCTGAAAGAGTAGTATATTCATGTATATTCTATTATATTCTGATATACATAGAAACTTTGTAGCGTGTGTTGATGTGTTTTGTACTGTTTTTTGCAAGTATGAAATGTAATTTCCTATGAAATCATGGGGGCCCACCTGGAAAAGAACTATAGAATAGTTTTCTGTAGGCGCGCAAGCACGAACCAGTGGGTGCAAGGTTCAGTGGATAACCAGGCCACTCCACCATGAACCAACTGTCAACCGTTTTTATAGGCAGAAACCAGGTGGCCCTGGTGATTTTATAGTGGGTGGATCTGGGATGATCTGGGTCTCAGGTGGTTCAAGGCTGAAGCGCATGTACGTTTCCTCAGCATGCTGGTGGAGCTTATGGCTTGGGAGAGTGCCTGGGTATCAATTGAAAGAACACGGAAAAACGCAAAAGATAAAGCAAAATCAAATGACTTCTAGCCCAGGCGTCCGTTCTCTTGACTGCCTAGACCTCTTCGGGGCATCGCAGAGGGTGGCGCCTCTCGACATTTGAGTATTATGAACATTTATATACGAACTCATATGGTGATTGCGTGTGTCTCTTCGTAACAAAAAGCGACATAGATCTGTGCGTTTTCTTGCCTAGGAAGTGTTGGCGCCGGGCTGGGTATTCATCCAGATCATTTGATATTCAGCTTGACAAGACCCACGACCTGACCACTTTTACAGGTGTGCTGTTGTTACTTCAATGGTTGCTCGAGTTTCTCGTCAGGTCTAGAATCTAGATTTTTTTGATATGTTCTTGCAATGTCTTGAATGCTTTTCTACAAGTCCTGAGCCTGCTGAGGCTGGTGCCAAATGGAATTGTGGTGGCTGGCCCGCCTTGTTCACTCATGGTAGCAGCCTTCACAGTCAGTTCATGGACGCTCCATGAGCAACCTCATGGGGAACACTCGTTATTTTTGTGTACGTCTCTCGAACCGTTTGTGGGTGAATCTGGCAATTTGGCAGCAGTAGCCATTGCCTGACAGACAATGGAATGATTCAATTCTATTTGCGGCATTTCGAGTTGAACTTTTTTGGACGTTGAAAGATGCAGAATATAAGGCAATTTGCCTCCAAGTTATGCGAAGGGTTCGGGATGACCTTCGGTTCATCATTGAAC